CTTGCCACCACGACCTGGTCGGTTTCGCGCGATGCATCACAGACTTTGTCACGTTCATGTACATTACAGATGTATGGGTTGACCCGGCACAACAGGGCAAGGGTCTCGGCACATGACTCGTCAACTGCGTGCAAGAGGTGGTTGAGGCCATGCCCGCCTCCGGAAAAGCCTGCTCTTCTACCGGTGATTGGCGCGCGATCGGTCCCCCTTTTATGAGAAGTTGATGGGCATGGCGGGTGGTGGATTCACAGCCAGGTGAAGGGCTCGCCGTCATGGAGAGGAAGGGCAGAGGCCACCCCAGTTATGGCCGGCCCGGCACCAGCTACAATTGAGAGGAGGATGAGACCCGCCATTGACTAGTCGGGTGAAGATGAGTAGGCATCCTGTACAGTACACATACACCCCTCAACCAATGCAGAGGGAACAGTTTTCTTGATGGCACGAACCCTGAATTTGTCATGTCTTGCCCGTATGTCTTTTGGCCTGATCCCCGGTGATTGGCCAGCTGGCTGGAACGCTTATCTAATCAGATGATCCCCGCCCTTGGACGTCTCGGCTGATTACCGGCAGAGCCATGATGACACTTGGTCGATGATGGACCTACCCACTTGGGAAACTCGCACGCTGGCAATAGCTCCCGAAGCTGCCCTCACATCGCAGAAGCAAGTGGGGAGAGCATCATTCGTTGCCTGTGTCTTTATGTGAGCTCGAGAAAACCCTACCCGGCACCATGCGCCGTCTCCAATTCATCCTGCTGGCAACTGTCCAGCTCTCCGGAGCTCGCCAAGCTGGCTTCAGCATCCACGATGACCTCGTCGCCTATCCACAGTACGAAGTCGTCTTTTCCGAAACCTTCATTTCTCAAAAGGAAGCCGATGCGCTGTTGCATCACGCGAATCCCCACTCGACCTACGCGGCCGAATTCTCCTCCCAGTCCGATCTCTCCCAACAGGTGCAAGAAGCAAGGGACGACGAAGGACCGAAAAGCCACGATGTGCAGGAGACGTATGCGCTCATGCACATGGCGCCGTCGAAGTACCTGTGCTCCATACCGATCCTCGAACCCGCGGGCCCCGAGAATAAGACGGCCAACGACCTGGCGAAGCAGGAAGAGGCACGCGAGCTCGCGAGGGCCTCGGCTGCCGGCTGGGACCTCATCAACGAGCTCGACGGCACGTGTCTCTACTACATGTCCGGGTGGTGGAGCTACCGCTTCTGCTACAACCGCGAGATTCTGCAGTTCCACGCGCTGCCGCTGATGCCCAACGGCGAGCCCCCGCTGCGCGACCCCAACACGCTCGAGTTTGTCCTCGGGCGCGGCCCCAAGGATGCCGACGAGCCCGCGGGACACGGCTCGACGAACGAGAAGGCCGCGGCGGCGGCGACGACGACGACAACGGACCTGCAGGTGAAAGGCGATCAGCGCTACCTCGTGCAGCGTCTCGACCGCGGCACCATCTGCGACCTGACGGGCCGCGAGCGCACGATTGAGATTCAATACCACTGCATGCCGGGCCTCAAGAGCGACCGCATCGGCTGGATCAAGGAGGTCACGACGTGCGCCTACCTCATGGTCGTCAACACGCCCCGCCTCTGCAACGACGTGGCCTTTTTGCCGCCGAAGCAGACGAGCGCCAACCCCATCAGCTGCCGCCTCATCCTCGACACGAGCGACCCCGAGGCCAGCGCCGCGTGGCACCGGCGCAAGACGCTTGAGGCCGAGGCGTCCATGGTTCACGGCGAGCGCGGCGGCGGCAGCGGCGACGCGCGCTTTGCGGAAAACGCGCGGCCGGATCTCGACTCGGAGTCGTTCCGTAAGCAGGAGCCCGTCACGGTCGGCGGGGTCCTCGTCGGCGGGCGCAAGGTGCTCAGCGAGGCGGACGAGGAGGGCAAGCCGCCAGCGGTGTTGAAGCCGCCGCATAACTTTCTGCCCAACAAGGCGCAGGCGGGCAAGCCAAAGGCTCCGGGGGCGGGGGCGGGGGCGGGGGCGGCGGCAGACGAGGCCGAAGCGTACGAAACGGAGACGATCGCATCACGAAAGCACAAGGCCGAGGGCGGCGAGCTCTGGATCCTCTCGGACGAGGAGCTCGAGGAGCTGGACCTCAGCCCCGAGACGGTGGAGGACATGCGGCAGGAGATTGAGAAGCTCGCGGGCGACAAGGGCTGGAAGCTCGAGGTGGTGGAGGCGCCAGGCGAGGCCAGGGAGCTGCGCGGCTACGTTGACGACGACGAAGATGATGCCAAGGCCAAGGCGAGGGCGAAAGCCAAGGCGGCCGGCAAAAAGGGGCCCGATGCCGATGAAGAGGACGTTGCGGGCAGCGAAGAGCAATTTTACGGAGACTGGTGATTTTCATTATCGTTGCTGTTGCTGTACGAGGTAGACAGTACCAAGCTTGCAGGAGGGGGGGGCGCTTCTGGCTAGCATCGGCGTTACGGTTTGGGTTCGAAATGGAAGTTGTCACGATGTGGCTGTTGATGTGCATGACGTGACATTGACACACAGGTTCGGCATTTCATTCTTAGTCGCGAAGCAATTGATGTTTGAAAACCGCAGCCACATCGTCAGCGCCCAAAAGAACGTCACAAACGAACTCGGCCTCGCATCTCCTCTGAGCCGATCTCGCAACAACGTCTCGCACGCGAAGCTAGCATGACATGAGCCCTGGAAATAGTCCACCCAAACGCGGCAAGGTCCCTGGCAAGTCTCGCATTGGGGAGCCGAGTTGAGCCTCTGGCCCACATGCTGCATTGGCTTGCGGATACCTGGTCCCAGGCCACCCCCAAGTCAGCAGATACCTGGTCCCAGGCCCTCCCCTCCCCAAGTCAGCAGACCACAATCCCCCAGCAAACATCCAACACCCACAGCCAGAGAGACAAGTACCGTGATCGGCGGACGCGAGCCAAGACGTCGTGAGGCAGCGCTGATTGGCCTCCCCCGCATTCAACGGCATGTGTTTGCGAATCACATCTCAGACTCTTCCCCGCACTTTTTTCGTTTGAGCTGATGAAGAGGCGACGAGACGAACAGGCGGCGGGCAGGGTTTGAATCCGGTCGCCTTGACAGTACATTGACAGTACATAGTACAGTTTGCCGTTGGCCGTCCTCGTGGATGACCTGACCACCTCGTGGCGACCTGGGTCCAGTACAGCAGCAAAAACAGCAACAACAGCTACAGCAGCTACAGCAGGCGCGCACGGAAAGAGGGGCCAACTCCACTGTCGACCTCCCCCCCCCCCTCATTATCACATCGCCCAATTCCTCGCTGATACCTACCTCGTCCTTCCCCATCAATCCACCTACGAACCCCCCCCCCTACCTATCCATCCCATCGCAACGAGAGGCCCACCGATCACATAGGGCCGTACACCGCAAAAGTCAAAGTCCGCAGTTGCTGTCGTCCGTCTCAGATTGCCTGTCCATTCCTCATCCCTGCGTCATGCTCCGCGATGGACGACGCACAGGATACACCGAGAAATGTAGCGACGACGACGACGACGACAACAACAACGACGAGCAGCGACTCGGCCGACGCTGCCTTTTCCAGGGCCAATTCTGTCGACCCTCACGATGAGTCCTCTTCGCCCGGAAAAACGAGGAAGACGCAGCAGCCAAAGAGAACCGTGTGCGATCACTGCCGCCGGAGACGTATGTTTGTCCCATCCGCTGCCTTCACTTCTTCACCTTGACTCGTCGTCCCCTGCCTCACGTCGAACTCTGCCATACGTCCTTCGTCTGCTTCCCTTCCCACTCTTGGCGCTCCATCATCACCTCTCTTGGCCCATGTTGTCCTGACCCCCAATGTCCATGAGCTTTCGTGCCATTCTCCCCCTCCCCAGCAGACTACGCCCCGGCCAGTCTGTATGTCGCCTTCATGGTATCTCTCACAAACTTGCCTTTCCCCCCTCACCTCGCTCACCCCTCTCTCTCTCACACCACCCTTGACCACGCCTCGCGGCCTGGTTCTTGCCTTCCTACAGCCACATACTCCCATCATCATGACCACCCACAAGCGCACATGCTAACGCCACCTCAGGAATCCGGTGCGATGGCAAATACCCTTGTGAGCAGTGCCTGAACGCCGCTCTCACCTGCAAGCGCGACCATGTTCCCAAGAAGAGGGGTCCCAAACGTGGCCATGGCCGGGTCATCAACGAGCTGCGAGCCAAGGACACCTTTCCGGGCCAGCTATCTCTCGAAGGCGGAGGAGTGGGAGGTCAAGGCTCCCAGGACAATCCCACAGAGTATGTGCGCCGTCGACTCTCCGCCGCCTGTCCGCCCCTGAGCTTCGATCCGTCCATGAGCGACTCGTCGGCCAACCCCTCTGCTGCGCCGTCGGCCGCCAACAGCCCGCCTCAGTTCTGGGCCACCCTCACCTCCAACCCCGGCCACAATGTGCCCGAGCCGCGGAGCGCCTTCTCGAGCGACGACTATCGTCCCAACAGCCGGAGTTACCTCTACATGGTGCCACAGTGTGTCGAGCTCTACTACGAGCACATCTACCCCATCATGCCGCTGCTGTACATGCCCGCCATCCGCCAAACCATCGCCCGCCCCATGACGCCCTCGGAGAAGAACCTCATCTACGCCCTGTGCGCGCTCACGTCCATGCACATGTCAGGCAAGAGCATCGAGGCCCCGGGCCCGCCTTCGTGGGAGGTCGCCGGTCGCTTCTTCCTCGACGAGTGCATCTCGGTGCGGCAGTCGTACGACTTCCTCGAGGACCTGTCGCTCTCTGCCGTCATCTCATCGTTCTACCTGTCGACGTCCTTTTTCGAGATCAACCAGTCTCGAAAGTCGTGGCACTATCTCCGCGAGGCTCTGAACAACGCACAGGATCTCGGCCTCCAGAACGACTCGACCTACTATGGCCTCAGCCCGGAAGACACACTCTGCAGACAGCGCGTCTTCTGGATTCTCTTCGTCACGGAACGGTATGTTTTCTGTAGTTGATGGCCGACTTGGTATCCCAGGGCATCACTGACGATATTGCAGCTCCTTTGCCATCCTTCGCAACAAACCCATCACATTCAAGCAAACCCCTTCGCTCCCTTCAACACGCCACTCGTACGAATCCCCCGACATCCACGCCGGCTTCCTCCAGCTCGTCTCGTCGTACACGCCCCTCGACGAGTCCTTCGTCACTGCCTGGAACGAAGGCTCCGACCCCCGTGTCAGCGCCGCCACCTTTGTCGCGCTCCAGAACCTCCTCGCCCTGCCGCCCATCTTCCTGCGGCCCCGCTCCCCGACGTCGCTCTTCGCCGGCAGCACCGACCCCTCGACGCCCGAGCCGACCGACATCCAGAAGGCCGACCTGCTCGTGACGCAACAGTGGCTGCGTCTGATCGTCTGGCAGTCGTCGATGCGGCAGCAGCTCCTCTCGTGGACGAACCCCGCCGACGCACCCGACCCCAACGCGCCCCCGAACAGCATGTGCTTCTCCTTTCCCCTCTCCGTCGCCCGCGACACGGCCGCCATCCTGGCGTCGCTGCCGCCGAAGGCGGTCGAGGTGCACGGCATGGGCATCATGGAGAAGATTTTCGAGATTGGCACCTGGTGCGTCAACGTCCTCGGCGCCTGCGAGAGCGTCGGCTTCGCGCCCGGCGGCATGGACCTGACGGCCGGCGACCTGGGCGTGCTGAACACGGGCCGCCGCAGCTCGAGCAAGGACCCCATAGAGTTCTTCGTCCGCACGCTGAGCGCCAGCCCCAACAGGAAGGGTGCAGTTTGCCGAGAAGCTGCTCAAGGCCGCGGCGAGAACCAGGCTGCATGCGCGTCGCGCTGAGCCCGGCGTCGGCGCGGGCTCGGCGAGGTGCCGCCCGACTGGAGGGACGAAGATGCTAGGCGAGGTCGTCGACGAGGGCGTCACGCTCAAGGAGGAGGAGATGATGGTGGCCGCCGGCATGGGCGACTTGGACCTCGCCGGTGCCGTGGATGTGCCAAAGCATGGGCCTCGGCATCATGCCCGTTGACATGGCGGCGGCGGCGGCGGCGGCAGCGGCAGCAACCGCGGGCGGGCTCCGCGGCGACAGCGTCGACCTGACGAGCCCGCTGACCATGACGACGAGCCACAGCTACTCGGACATGGCGTCCGCCATGGGCATGACGGGCCTGTCAGACTGGTCCGAATGGAGCCCCGAGACGGGCGGCGGCGACGAGGCGGCGGCGGCCTTTGCCGCCGAGGACGGGACGGGGCTCGCGCACGTCGTGAGCCGGAGCTCGGCGGGCGACGGCAACGAGAACGGGTACGTACAGGACGACGGCCGGGGTCAGGGTCGGGGACATCATGGCCTTGTCGGTGTTTGGTAGGCGCTCTTCTGGGAGGGCTGGGTTTGGCATAGGGACTTTCTGGTGGGGGACGCAGGTTGGCTTCGGCATGTGCTCTTGACGCTTTGTGGGAATACTTCATTTTGTTTTGTGTGAGGGACATATTTTGTGAGGGACATTGGGACGAGGGGCACGCATAATGGGTGTATATGGAATCTACGGTATGTGGTTGGCGTTGTATGTATGCGAAATGTCACATCTCCAACTGGAGACTGTTTGTTGTACGAAGGACAAGGAAGGAAGCAAAGAATATCATTCACAAGTACATTCTTTTGGGTCTGCTGGTCAACAATTCGTTCCGTTGTCACGCCAGGTCTAACCTCGCCTTCCACAAAGGCTTTGGAGTTGAAGTCTGAAAATGAAGATTGTGCACCCAATGCCGATGACCAACATCCCAACAGTGACAGGAGCAGCGAATGAATGAGATATACCAAGCATGCTCGAGCTTACTTCACTCTGGTGACATGTGTCTCGAGCACCATAGCAAACCTACGAAAAGCATCCAAACGCCATGCTGCAGCCGCCGTGTAGAAGCCGATTTGTGGAGAGAATCGACTCCAGCCATTATAGTCCGCCGCCGGCACTGCCGACCAAACCATCCGCGAAAAGGGAGCAACAATACGAACGTTCTAGCCCGAGAACGTCATTTCTAAGCAAGATTAGGCGCGTTGTGAGACGGATGAGATGGCGTCGTCGACCTTCCACGGGTTTCATAGAAGGAAACACCGTCCGGATGGGAAACTAAACAATCAACAGACAAGGTAAGAGGAATAAGGCCCCTAGTCTACTCTGGAAATGTTATGGGATTGTTGTCTGGTCCGGGCAATTTCCATACGTCGCGGGCTGACTGGAGAAATGCAAGGGGCGCGAAGTGCATTCATCGTCCGTGGGGGCACGTGTGCCTGTCCATACCAGCATTGTATACAACGTGGTTGTCGTCTGGTACAACATGAGGTTCCGTGAAAGTCTGCACAGCCCCAGGCAATCCAGGAAGCCCTCCATCCGGTACAGTCAGGTGGTTTGGGGTAACAAATGCAAATGTAAGGCTGCACACAGGGTTGCGCACCCGGGATATTCTGTTGGAGGTTTGGGGCTGGCCGTCTCGAGTGTGCTTCGGCAAATTAGGCTTCGGCAGGGTCACGTAGCGTTGCGGGTGAAGCGATGGCTACTACTCGACACGGTCACTCGCCGCGATCTGCAACATAAGCTTGCGCCTAATTGTCAGTGGTCGCAAAAGTCCACTTTGTGAGAAACAACGAGCGATGAACTGTCAACGACGGCGTCGCGGATTGAGCGTCGCTCGCACCAGCAACGACTCATGCATTCCGGCCCCCGTCTGCTGTTGGCTGCGCTGACCGCCAAACTGACCGCCAAGCCACGCTGCGCGGCGGATCAGGCGCCTGTAGGCCAGGCGATGGTGAGGGCTGGAATGCAGCGAATGCCAAATGGCAACGTGGTCGCCGAACATGTTGTCAAAGCTTGCGGCAAGCACTTTAGACCCCTGCGCTCGTGACTGGCACCCTGGAAATCGAACAAGACGCATCTGTCCACCCTTCCGACCGACGCAATGATATCTGAGGATGCCTGCAAGAGGATATTGGAAGAGTTCCGTGAGGCAGCAGACATACAGAAAAATCGGCTCCAGGGACGGCTTAACAAGCGTCAGCGTCGGAGAGGCCGCGGCTAGGGTTTCGAACCCGAAACTTGGCTTCCTGACTGACGGTCCTCCCTGGCTGCGTGACTGACGAGGGAGAAGGACGGCGCCGAACAGGTGTGCCCGGATCGAGGGAGACCATGGTGGGGGTAGACGCGGGCTCCCCCCTTCCAATGAAGCGAACGCCGTGCAGTGCAGCTGGTTCTACGACTTCCTGCACGTGGTGCTGTTCGCATTTCCACCTGGGCATCTAGCTCGATCGGGCGTGTCAGTCAAAAGTCATGCATGGATAGAAAGGAGCGAGACTCCAGTGTCAAGGGCCTGGTTCACGACGGATGTCCGTTCGTTTGACTTTGACTCCCTTTCTCCTGAGAATCATTCGAATTTGGTGTGACGGGGCGGCATTTCGCTGGCGCGTTCTCGCGGATCACATCCCCGGGGGAGGGGGGCTCCAAGCCAGGGGCGGTCGCGTTCCCGTCTCGTTGGAGAGGAAGCTGATTGGGCTGGAGGGTGAAGGATGTTGACGAAGCAGGGGTCATGGTGAAGCGAATCGAGCGACTGCAGGGCCAATTTGGTCGGAGGAGGTTGGGTGTCTTGGGGTGTGACGAAGCGATGAGGAGGTATTTCCTGTTAGCGACCCGGCCTGATTGCCGATCCGTTCTTGGGCCGACTTTGGATTGAGCGGCGAGTGGCCATCGCGTGCTGAAGAAAAAAGGAAGAGAAAATGGGGGACGATGCAAGGAAATATCAGTGGAAAACTGTCGAGTTGGATAATGCAGTAGAATACAAACGATACATGCGAGGGTCTGGACATGTCCGGTGGACAAGTAGGAGCCTGTGAAGATTATTGCCGGTCATGGAAGGAGGACTAGTCGTTCCTGCCTAACAGGTGCCGAGATACTTCAGATTTGAATCTTTCAAGGCAGTGATGGGTGGTGGGATTGGAAGGAGCAAAAGGGACAGGAAGGGCAGGAAGAGCTAGCGGGCTGGACGGGAGGGTCCGTTGCGGGCGGCCCCTTCCCTATGCCTCTTGTTGAAGCTACCTTACCTACGTTGGCTGAGAAGTCGCCCTAAAATGGAGAATGGAGGGGGGGCCAAGGGAAGGCACGAGAGGCCCGGCCAAGCCCAACTTGCCTCCCATCCGCACTAACACCAGTGACATGGACATAAGGTACCTACAGTAGAGCGGGTAGGTGCCTGTAGCTGACCAACGCAACGCTAATGCTGCACAACAAACCACAACGCCCACACACAGCCCAAGCACAATTGGCGGGCAAGAAGGAAAGAAGCACAACTGGCGAGACGACAGACTCCAATGAGCAACGACATCGTCGTGCCGGGCGTCACTTCGTTTCGTTTCATCTCGCTGGAAGCAGACGGCACCCAAGTGGAGGTCCCTTCCTGGCTGCCTCTCCTTTCCGTCTCTCTGTCTCTCTGTCTCTCTATCTCTGTCTCTGTCTCCCTCTCCCTCCATCTTCTCGCCCATCTCCTCCTCCCACCTACCCAACAAGCCCTCTTCCTTTTCCTGCATCCTCCTGTAGAGACGCGCCGCCCTTTCGCTCGCGTCCTGCTTCCTTCTATTTCGACCTTCCACCGTCTCTTTCTCTTCCCCACCAGGCGCTGACTGAACTGGGCTGGCGACCTCCCGAGACACGATCCACGACCGCAGCCCAAGTTAGATTCTTCTCCCTTCAGTCGACCCGGCCGGTGAGCTGTGACGTACCTACGAGCCGACACCCTCCCAGAGTCTCTCCCCTCCGCCCCCCCTTACTGCGCGTCGCAGGAACGCTGATGCCCACTGCCGCCCTGTTGCCCGGCATCCGTGCCAGCACTCGTCTCTTGATGCCCCTGTCTGCAATCACCGCTGCGCCGACCATCACACCCCAGACAGATGCCTGTCTGTTGTAATCTTTCCTGTTCCCAGCGTGGCCATCGGCCGCTCTCTTTTCTTTTCTTCATCTGCCACTACTAGGAACCGCTTCCTGTCGCCATTCGTCGAGGGCCACGCTCCCTTTCGTCACCCAACAGTAGACATCAGACATCAGACAGACATCACCATCTCGGTGCCGCAAACGAGGACTGAAACGTGAACACCGACCACGGCGGAAAGCAGGCTCACCAACTGCAATTGGCATCCTCGGCTCGGCCATATACTTTCCACATTCATCATCATTTATTCATTGTTTGAGCGAACACGGCTTGCGCATAGCCTCTAATCGACGCAACACATGCCACTCGCCCAGGCCCAAAGTCCTAACCAGGTTCAGCCCTGCTCGCTTGTCATAACGTCCTCCACTATACCATCATAGCGTCCTCGCCTTTCTCCGACGCGCCTGGTCACGTCTCCCGCGCTCGTGCAGTCCCATTAGGGATTACCCATACTCGCTTCTTTTCAAAAGAAGGCTGCCGCCGGATACACGCTTTTCACTCCACTCCCTTAAACAAGCATTATCCCGTCCTGCTGGCCCCGAACTGCATTGACGGACGATACTGCGTTGAACAACACACTCGACGCCCCCTCCACATCCGACCCAACGGTAAACCTTCAGCACAAACAGAAAACGCCGACGGCGGCCCCCGTCGAGTGTGCACATGGACGGCTCAAATTCAGCAGCAGCCCGCGAGAGGCCGCGCCCGCCTTCTGCCTACTCACGCGCCCCGTCACGAGCCTCCACCAACGCCTCCCACATCAGGATGTCCTCGCAGAGGCCCAGTAGCTTCGAATTCCCACCTTGCCACGGCCCCACCCTCCCCGGACCCTCCCTCAGCCGCCCACCCATGGGGTCCCATCGGGAACCACCACCACTGCTTGCCCCCGGCAGCCCCCCGAATACCCAGAATCACAACCAACCATGCCAAAATTAGCGTCCGAATTCGGGAACATCGAGTTCCCCTGCAAGGAAAGGATTACAGAGGAGGAGAAAAAGAGGCGGACGGCGCTGCCGCCGCCAGGTTTGGCTGAAGAAGATGGCTTGCTGCTGCTGAACCCCCAACTCGAACGGGCCCAAAGCTCGCCTGGTGAAGGCAGGGGTCGGCTGATGGGACGGTCGGGCCAGGCTTCCAGGCGGCAAGTTTCAGAAACTCAAGCAAGAAAGAAGGGGCATGGGTGTCAAGGGAAATGGGAAGCTTGGTGAAGAAAATTCCAAGCGCCAGACCACAATCACATGGAGGCCAGGCGTCATGGCTAACCTTCCTATAGACTGTTTCAACGCTGCACAAACAAAACTTCGACCTAAAACTCGAACTATATCACCGCCGAGAACGCCAAACGACCCTGGAGGAGAAGGTGGAACAGCTTGCCTCTGAAAAGGAGCAGTTGGAGGAAGTCAACGACAGACTGCTGGAGGAGCTGGAAAAACGGGACAAGGCTGTGCAAGAGGCTGTTCAGATGATTGTGCTTCTCGAGGCTCGGGTCGAGAAGCTCGTGGAAGAAAGAGAAATGGTGCGCCAGGTCGAGACGGCAGGCTACCTAGCCAAGATGGACGCCTCCCTCGACGCTCCCGACTCCCAAGCCTCGCACTGCCGATCTCACCCGGCTCGAGGAGGACGTCAGGAAGCTCAGTCGTATGCCCGAGTTTTGTGTCTGAAAGCACAGAAACAACAGCAAACCTACGCAACGTCTACCTCGGTACTAGGGGTAACCTTACTCTACCGAAATTGACGGAAGGACTGGCGGACACCGATCCAGGAAGAGCTGGCATGGTGAGCCCCAAGTCTTAGCGTTCTGAGCGAGAGCTCCTTCGCCAGCATCTACGGTGAGAAGGAGAGTGACGATCGATATCTGCAGAACGATATCGAAGGCGTACGGCCACAGGCGGCCCCCCGAGCGTACTCGAATCCCGCTGGCTTAGCATCGACGCCGCGATCACGAACCGTCACGCCCAGCCCGTGGCCCACGCTCCGGCTCCTTTTCGCGAAGCGGATCTGGTCAGTACCAATCCATAACCGACGTCATCGAGCAGAGCTCTCCTCTGCAGAGGCTGGAACGCCTGGAAGGGTACGCCTCGAACGGTGCGTCTCCGTCGACTGACAAGGTGGCCCGCACACGATCCCAATCGCAAAGCAAGACAAAACAAGAGAAACGTGAGGCCTTGCGGAGAGTCATGACTGATGCCCCTTCCCCGAACGGGCGCTCTCATTTCGACCAGGCTCTTCCACCCACACCAGATACCATTTCGACCTCGACCCTGCGCCGTTTCAAGAACTCTAGCGGCGACACCCTGGTGCAGCAACCAAACACAACAACAAACGAGCGCAGCTTTCTTGCTTCGTCATCGCAGAGGGCAGGAGAGAAACCAGAGCCAGTGGCTGAGCATAATGGTGGAGCGCCGATTATGCCTCCTTCAGCTACGACAACACGCTATGAAGCAGACTTTGCTCATCATGGGCACGGGCGGCCGCTCAAGCCTCAGCCCCGCCCTAGATCCGCGGACGAATCGACCATCTCCCACAGGAGGAGTAAAGCTTGGCTGCAGGAAAATGGCGATGAAGACGACAATGCGTCCATCATGTCCCTCGAGTCGAGCCTTGATATTTGGATGCAACAAGGGAAGGAGCCCAAACAAGTCGGGCGGACATCCCCAGATCTTTTCGGCTTTCCAACCAAGACTGGCGGCTGGGAGACGGACGCCATGTTTGGACCGGGAGCATCGTACGGCGGCGGAGGCGCACCTCTCTCGTGGCCGGATCCCCTCGAGGACCTCGTGCCTATTCAGCAGGCGCTCTTTGGGGGTCCCGGCGCACCGCCACCACCTAATAGGAGGTCGAGTCTGCATGCTAGGACAGGATCTGCTTCGACTTCACGACACCCCGAGCCTGTCATGGGCAAGCTGCGCAAGTCGTTCGGCCGACGACGTGATAGCACCGACAGTCAGATGCAGGCGAATGAGGCTGGGCCACATACGCCGCAGCAAACGAGTGAAAAGCAAGGGCAGGGACAAGGCCGCGGTCCATATCCACCATTCACGCGGCCGGCCACAGCAACGCCTCGCGATGGCAGGATGAAAACGCTTTGGAGACGGTCTCTCGGTGGTACTGGGTCCGCGCCACCACCCAACGCGTCGGATCTGGTGCCTGAACCTGCAGTATCCACGACGCCTACGGGGAGGCAGTCCATCAACAACGGTGTTGGCACTCCATCCTGGGTTCATCGGGCCCATATGATTGATGATGACACACGCGCTCTCGGCGCAACGCCGCCACCTATTCAGCGCCAACCACGACGAGGCAGTATGGTCGAGCACGAGGGTGCGCCGGTCTTCGACCGCGGTCCTTCAACGCCGACCATGTCAGTGGCGCCCAGCCTGCCGTCTACCCCGAGCGGCAAGGGCCCAACGACGAGTGATTCAGCCCTGGCTGGAGCTCCAGGGCCCGGAGGAGGAGGAGGAGGAGGAGCAGGAGCAGGAGGGGAGTTCCTCTAGGCAACGGCGCCGGTACCGCCGCCTGGACGAGGAGGAAGTGGCTGCCTGGTTTTGGTCGTACTAGCAGCCTCCGCAACAGGGCCGGTTGAGAGGACCGACACTCTTGCTGATGGTGCTGGTGGCTTGCAGAAGCAGAAAAAAAACACCCTCAAGATGGGAACGTCTTGGTCCGGATGTGATTACAAAAGAGGGACCTACTTTGTCGTGCTGGGACCAGTACAGCATTAGCATTATTTTGAGACTAGGCGTTATGGATGCCGACGCAACGGGCGTCACGGTGTAGCAACGGCGTTTCATCCGCTAGCAAGCAAAGCATGAATGATATTTAGGAAAGATCCGTTTTTCGCCCTCATGCAGTTTGCCATTCCGAGAAGAATGTGATCGAAATCTCGGTGCTTCTGGGTACGAGGGACAAGAGGAGTATCAAAGAAGCCTTGCCCCGCCAATGCAGGAGGTTCTTCACCGTTGCATTTTGAACATCACAATGACCGCATCAACGCCGGTCCCCGGTTGCGGACCAGAATGTCCGCAATGCCAACTTGCTTTTTGGATCATCCTGCTTGCTATACTGCAGACCTGTCTATGATGCGGCCAATAAGGAATTCCCTCTACTGAGGCACATGGATATTGTGTTGTTCAGGGTCTTCGCGTAGGACTATGTATCATTTTCCCCCTGGCTCAACTGTCTAAACCTCCCGATTCAAACATCGCGCCTGGTCTGGCCCCCAAGCACCGATGTCATCCCATGTCCCCCGCCAGGATCGCCATCGACGAATCCTGCCGACACCTTCCGAAGGACCACCGCTCACGACGAGGACATCGGCGTCAAGCTCGGAACTACCAACAACGAGACGGGCCCCGCGTCGTCAAGCTCCGGCGGCCTGCCAGGAATGTCGCAAGCAAAAGACCAAGGTGAGAGCTCTACCTAAGGCGCGAGAGCATGTCCTCGTCTGTCGAACAGAATCTGACCGTGCCCAACTTGTTTCCACGACAGTGTTCCGCCCACAGGCCGCAGTGCCTGCGCTGCCAGCGCCTCAGCAAGGCGTGCGTCTACGACACGGCGCAGCTCGAGACGCCGCGGCAGTCGCTGCGGCGCAAGCACGGCGAGCTCGAGCTGCGCAACTCCAACCTCGAGCACCTCTTTGGCTTCCTGCGCGACGCGCCCCGAGGCCGACGTCGCCCGGTGTGCTGCGCCGGGCTCAGGGAGGGCGCCGACCTCGACGCGCTCGGGGCGCACATTCGCGACGGCGACCTGCTGCTGCAGAT